GACACCATCGAGCTCTGAAGGCCCGGGAGGGCGCAGGCCCGCCGCCCTGCTCTCGACGGCCTCGTGGCGAGGGGGCCGGAGCCTTTGCAGAACTGTCCCCGGGCCTTGCCTGACCGCCCGCAGCGCGCGAGCGTGCCCTTCTTTGTTTTTTAAATATCTCTATTTTTTTCAGCGGGTATTTTGCACAGAGGCCGTGACTTAGTGGAATACAGGGTGACGTGCACGGATTTGCCATGAGGAAGGGGTTCAGATGCTCCAGACCCCCTCATCCCGTCCAGGCTGCCCAGTGTGGCGAGATGAGGCTCCTCTGTCCAGACTGTCCTCTTTGTGCCAAAGAAATAAACCCTTGGGACTCACGTGCCTCCCTCTGGCCGTCCCCCCACCGCGCGCTCCCGCCTGGTGTCTGCCGGGAGGGGAGGGCTCCCCTCGCGGCTTCAGACGTGACGGCGGGGGTGACGCCGGCCTACTGCGTGCTCTCCGCGCTTCCCGCTCGGCACTGACTGTCCTGTTGCCCGAGTGGAAAGCGCTCTGCCCATTTTTCGGATGAGCAAGGTGAAATTTCCCCCAGTGTCCTTGGGCGAATGACAGCGGGTACTGGACCCAGAAGTTCTGCTCGCGCCGCCTCCCACCCTCTGGCACTGCAGAGCCACGCGGTGTTTTCTCCACTCCATGACAGCGCTCAGCCCCCCAGGTTTTTCAAAGGTTCCGGAGGGGGAGGTGTTCCCCGGAACACGTGGAACACGTGAAGGATCCCGGAGCCGGCGCCCACACTGAGCGGCTCCCCTTACAAGACCTTTATTTCCTGAGATGAATAAATAAACCAGTGGCGGAGGAGCAGGGCGGGTAGAGCAGGCGGCTGGCGGCAGGCGGCTGGCGGGGGGCTGCGATGGGCACTCGGGGCCTCCCTGTCTTGGCAGGGCCAAGCGCCCATCGTCTGGAGACTTCTTTTGAAAACACACACGGACACCTGCCCAGCCCCCTTGGCCAAGGTCTCCTGGTGGCCGCCTTTAAAAGGCTTCTCTTTCACCAGGGGGCCTCCCTCACCTGCCCAGGTCTGGGTGCCGGGGCAGCGCCCCAAGGTGGCTAGAGGGTGCTTACCCCGCTCTCAAACACTGAGCCAGCCGCCTCGTGTGTCCAGGCAGGAGCGGGGCCTGACTCGTGGGCAGCGGGGCGGGAGGAGTGGCTGCGGCCTGGCGGCATTATCTGCCCTTGATGAAGCCCTCCAGCACGCGGTCGCTGCGCTCGGACAGCCAGTAGCCCGTCATGGCCGCCACGGCCCCAATGAAGATGGCGGTGAAGACCAAGTCGCCCTTGGCGGCCAGCGTGGCCAGGGCACAGATGATGACGCCGAAGAACATCTGCTGCAGCACCACCAGCTCGTCCTCCGTCATCTCCGAGAAGAAGCCCGCCGACTCTGCGGGCCGAGGGCGCGGTCACTCACTCCCGCGGCTCCGGGCCCCCAGGCCTCGTTCACCGCGAGGGCCAGTGTCCCCTTCACGCCCGACAGGAAACCCGCCGTGTGCGGGAAACTCCAGCTCTGCCACCGCCAGCCGCGGGCCGGGCAAGGGGCTGCCTCTGGCCACGTGCGCCGGGGTGGCGGACTGTTTTCGGGGCAAAATAATGGCAACATGCTTGGAGCACCGCGTGACCCTGAGAGGGCTGTGGAGTGCTGACTGTCCCCGCACCACTGTGCGCTCAGGGCCGGGGGCCGCCCAGGCGGGAGGGACAGACTCGGGGAGATCTGATCTGACACCAAGCCAAGTCCGGTTTCGTTTCAGCCCGGGAGACGAGGCCACCGAGAACTGGCCTGGGCGGCAGAGGCAGGTCAGGTCTCACGTGGGCCCCTGGGGGAGGGGTGGGGGAGAGCCCCAGGTTTCCGGGGCCAGACGGGGCTCACCTGGGATCTGCTCCTTGACGCAGACGCCCTCACCCTGTCTGTAGCCCTCGGCACAGACGCAGCGGTAGCTGCCCTCGGTGTTCTCGCACTGCTGGTTCTCCCCCGGACACACCTCCGTGGCGCATTCATCCACGTCTGCGGGGCGGGCGGATGCCAGAGCCCCATACACAGCACCCCCACCCTTGCCCGGGTCACCTTCCACCCTCCCCGGCCCGAGCCGCGCCAGCCCCTGCCCATTCTGGAGGCGCTGCGCCCCGCAGACTCACCGAGACACTTGGAGCCCAGCTGCTGGTAGCCGGCGCTGCATCTCTTACAG